GCTAAGATGAGATGTTGAAAATCAGTGTAATTTTTTTCACACATTTTTATTTTACCTTCCTTTGTTAAAAGAAGGGGCAAGAGAAAAGAATCCTTATAAATAGCACAACTCTTACAATTTAGCATGATTTATATATGCTGAATAACACAGAGACTGAAGAATAGCTACAGCTTTATGCTGTAGCAACTGCCAACAATAAAGCCCCATTTAAAAATAAAATATTGATAAAGATGAGATAAAATCTGTTTATGAAATATATCCAAAACATCAAATTAACCTAATTATTTTATCATTCAGAAGGAAACAGATAAAATCCTGTCAAAAATATTTATAGGATAAGCACATTATAATTTCCTTGAATATAATAATGTACTTTAGTTTCTTCCCGGATGTGCTTTGCATAATGAGATGGGTGGCATGGAAATTTAATTAATAAACAAACAAACAAACAAACTGTACCTGATGAACAAGTTCATGGGCAACCACAGCTGCCACTCTTTGCTTGTTTGAAGCAGCAGATTCTCGTGAATCATAAAGGAGATTAGTTTCTCTATAAGTGATCAGTCCCCAATTCTCCATGGCCCCAGTGCCAAAATCCGGAATTGCTATTTTGTCTAAATGAAACAAGAGAGATGTTTACTTAGGTGTTCAAAATCTCATTTCCCTCCAGTCACCACACCACTGGCTCTCAGCAATCTGATAACACCTGCCTGTATGCTTCCAACACAAAAACTCAGTGCCAGGTATGATAGGATAATACTTATGAATCAATTCTATTCTCTTCCAGTTTACTTTTCCACCAAGCAACTAGATACCACCCTCCATAACATTCAAGAAAGCCTACAGATTTAAGGGTGAGAACATAACTGAAAGCTTGCAACTAATGTATGAAATATGGTGCCCGTCCACTAATGTGTCCATCAATCTATTCATCTTCTCAATCACTGAATGAGATTTAAGTAGAATGTGTTCAACAAGAACAGAGAGCATGAGAGGCAATAAAGGAAGATAATAATGATATAATTATAACAATTTATATGTTATAATGAAGATAAGGACAATGATAAGGATCAGTATAAAATTAATCCATTTTACTGTCTGAATCATTAGGGTAATTTCCCAGTTGCCATTACAAATCTTCATTCATAGCTTTCCCTAATATACAACAACTTTTATATATAATTTTCTCTAAATCTGCAAAACATAAAAAAAATTATTTAAATGATGTCATTTTAAAATGTAAATGATCATTTAAATAGCTCGTTCAAGCTATTTAAAGCTAAGCTATTGCTTTTTAGATACAAGTTTTAGAAACATATATTCTTTTTCAGATGTGAATCACAAAAAAGAGAGATTTGTCTGCATGGATTTTTTTTTTTTAACCAAGCGAAGTGAGAAATAGCAGGGCTGTTTGTTATAGCTATCCATACCAAAATCTCAGAAATCTGCTTTCACAGAAATCCAGAAATATATATGAAAGGACAAGACTGATAATGAACATAACCCCTAATGTTATTAATTCATTCAGGCAATATGTGTTTAGCACTGTACCTAAGCTGAGTACCCTCAACTAAACTGAAGCTTACATGTCACATGAGCAAATATTACGTAGAACAAGTAATGGGACCTCTTACATCTTTAATGAAAATGAATCATTCCATGGTATTATTGTAAATTTCATATTTAAAGGGATGAAAACCACTGATAAGTAAATTGTTTAATCATATTAGTTAATTATACAAAAAGAGAGATGCAAAATGTACATTATCTATAGAGAAACAGTGTTTTACAATCAAATTCACAGCTTTGAATGTAGTATTATATGTTGCAGGATCCAATCTGGGTTGGTCACCGGGACCAGAAAGGTTTAGTCTTCTGAACTTTCGGACTCGTGCTGAAGCCCATCCACAGGGAACTTCCCTCTTCCGGTAGAGACTAAACCTCTGGTCCCATGACTGTCTTAGACTGGATCCTGCAAAATTTCTTGGGATGTACATTTTGCCTTCATTTGTGAGTACTATATGTGGTAAGCAGGCAATCTGTCCACCTTTCACCACACACAGTAATAATTTTCACTGCTTCAGCCAGACTAATTTTTATAGATTCTTCCCATGATTAGGTTGAAAAGTGATCTGATAACGGGACAGAAATATTTATTGATAAATTAATGAACTAAATCCACATATAATGAACCATATCTGGTTCTATTCATCATGACATGTAAGAGCATGTCTTTATAGCAGACAATCAGTATTAGTTGAAATGAAAGAGATGGACCTCTACAATCTTTGCAGGGCATACAATATTGCTACCTGCTCCAGCTTAGAAGTCAATCTACTTCTCAGATTGTCAAGCTTAAAGTAAGAATTTTGGATCCAAAAAGCTTGAAACCCCCATTTCTTCTTTATTGTTATCCAGCATGGGTTTCTCAACAGGTAGCTGATATAAATGTCTAGTTCCATTATATTTATATCTATCACAATTAATTCAGCACTTGTTAACACTTATTTCATTGTCAAAATAACCATTTTATTTATTGAAAGTACTTCTAAAGTGTGCTTTATTGAATGGTCACAAAATTATAAATAAAAATATCTACATAAATGCGTAAAATGTGTTTAAAAGCTTATAAATTCTTGCTTAAAGAAGATTCTATCCAATTCAATTGAGATATGATAAGCTTTCTCAATTAGTTGTTGGCACTGCAATTTTAAATTATTTTCCAAAGCATGGCAATGTCATACAATAAGTGTGAACCACACCCAGAAACATTTAACATTCATTTAAAAAGAAGAATAGAAATTTACCCAGTTTTGGAAGAGAATAGCTCATGTTGAAATAGTTTTCAAAGTAATCAAATACAACCTTGGTTACATTTGCTGCATAGATGGCTGTGTTTATCTGCTGTGGTTGGGCATAAACGCGTAGCTGTAAAACAATGTAGAAGATATTATCAGAAAGATTCCAGCTTGATATTACATTTGTTCAGGTTATTTCTTATAATTTGGACTTTCATAAAAATTATCTTTGTGGATTATTTATTAACTTATGTTCTCAACATTTTGCATTTAGTACAAGCATAAAATATATCAAGATATCCCTAGATCATATAAAGTTCTATGCAAAGTTCAAAATGTTTTGGATACTGTGAGAGTTCTTTTCATGCCTTCAGATACAGCATAATTTTTTTCCTGTTAATATAACTTTCATTAAAGGAAAAAAAGCCAATATTTGGTAAGATACAATATCAAAGCGCTAGAGTAATTTACTAGAACAAGATCCTTTAAAATACAACTTGGGGCCTTATTTGGATTCAGAATTGTGGATCTGAACTGAACTGAAAACATAGTCTCAGATAGCAAATGTTTGCTCATTATAGTCTTGAGTAAAGAATCAAGGGAGTGAAAAGGATTGTGGGGATCATCTTAACTGCTTCATTCTATATGTAAGTCTTTATTTTAATACTGAAAGAGCTTCCAAAGTAAGGTCACATATTAGGAAGTTTATCCTATTATTTCATTGAAATCTGATTCGTTTCTAGCCAATTTTTCATCTGCCACATGAAAAGCAAAAAGAGTATGGAAGAACTAGGTATGTCTAATCTAGTGAAGAGAAGGACTACGGATGACATGATATACAATATTCAAGGGGCTGTCACAGAGAAGAGGGGGTCGACCTATTCTCCATACCATCTAAGGGCAGGACAAGAAATAACAGATGGAAGATTATTAAAGAGAAATCCAACCTGGTATTAAGGAGAAATTTCCAAATAGTGAGAACAATTGCCTCCAGAAGTTGTGGGTGCTTCTTTTTAAGAAGAGATAGGACAGCGATTTGTTTGGAATGGCATAGGGTTTTCTGCTCAAGCAGGGAACGTACTAGAAGACCAAGTTCTCTTCCAACTCTCTTATTCTATCATTTCTATGACCAGCATGCATCACTTGTACACATATCTATTAGGAGATCCCAAACTTTTAAGCAATAGATGAAGTCACATGGAATCAAATTTGATTTGAAAGGGAAGTTACTGTTCATCTTTTCATCCAAATGGCAACCATCACAGCCTTGACAAATAACTTGTAATTGCCATCTACTAGAAATAGCAAAAGGTATGCTACCAATTCATACTAACTTGTGATGGCTTGTAATATATAGTAAATAAAACCAAAAGTAAATAAAATCCAATTTAAAAATATCCTATTATGTATGTATGAATATTAATATTGCCCTATTAAGTTTATTATCTATCCTATTATCATCTTTCCTATTACTTTCTCTTTTGTTATCTTATGATTTATCACTTTGTTGTTTGTATCTTATCATTTATGATTGTATCTTATGATTTATGATTATCACTTTGTTGTTTATATGTACACTGAGAGCTTATTGCACTGGAGACAAATTTCTTGTGTGTCCAATCACACTTGGCCAATAAAGAATATTCTATATTGTATTCTAAAAAAACAATCAACAATATTAGTTGGATAATAAAATATTAGCAACAATAACCTTATTATTGTAACTAAGCTTAATCTACATGGAAGCAAACAATAACTTGAAGATCCCATCAAAGAATTCCATTGTAGCTCTCTTTTGGAAGGCTGCAGGTGTTATCAGGGAGAAACTTTGTTTCTCAAGTGGGGGGGGGGTGTCATGAAAATATCTGGACCTCAGAATTTTTTAGGCTAAAATGAGGGTTTGGTTCTCCTTTGGAAAAGTTGCAAAGCATTCAAAATAAACATCCCTTTGAGTAGAGCGCAGTTGCTCCCAGGAGCACATCTCTGTATAGTTTTTGCCTTCTTCTAAGACAGTGATGGCGAACCTTTTAGAGACCGAGTGCCCAAACTGCAACCCAAAACCCACTTATTTATCGCGAAGTGCCAGGGCTGCATCAGCATTGTGGTGCCCTCAGGGGGGGTGTGGGGGTGTGGCCCATTGGGTGGGCATGGCTGCAGTGGTCACGGCAGACTGGGTGAGCGTGGCCGGGACCAGGGTGGCAGGGGCCAGTCCCTCGCCATCTCCGGGGCATCCCCGGGGGGCCATCGTGGCTTGCTCGCTCACTTCCTGCCCTGTCGCTTCCAAATGCCATGCGCTCGCTACTCTGGCGAACTCTGCTGGGGCAACGGTGCATGTGCCCACAGAGAGGGCTCTGAGTGTCGCCTCTGGCACGTGTGCCATAGGTTTGCCACCATTGTTCTAAGATATTTCTCAATTTTTCAATCTCGCCTATACTTTCTTATTGCTTTCTCCATCCAAATAATAAGCAGGGCAGAGTCTGCTTAGTGGAAGTGGGGGATGGGGGTGGGTAGGGGGTGTTGATTAGTCAAACTTGGCTAAATGCTGCCATCTACTATGTCAGATCACCATACATATCTAGTAGGCTGTAGTATGCTTGGTGGTTCCCAGAAGGCAGTGGCTTCTTTTCAAGGCTGGTAGATGGCTATTAGGACATTCTCCACAATGTGTTATATTTAGTTGAAGTTTTATTTGACATTATTGTGAAGCAATGTAACAATACATTATTTCATTCAGATCCTTAGATTTAAAAAAATAGCTTCAAGTATCTTCTCAAAATGTAGCATAATTACATAATTAGAAGAAAGGCAAGCTTCAAAACTACAAAATCTTTACTAAAGCTTTAGAACATGATGTAAGAGAACTTTGTGAAATAGGACAATTTAGCAGAAAACGATATGATCTCTTTTTGCAGAAAAAAACAGGCATGGGAAAATTACTTAGGATATGACTTTTGGTAAAACTATTGTTTGCTTTTCATTTTGCAAAGCAAAATGTCCTTGAGAAATATTGCAAAAACAACCAACATAGAACTTACTGGAATTCCACTAGATGAAATTCTTTCTTCATATTTAAACTGGTGCACAGCCCAGGCCACCAAGTAAGTACTCATTGGGACAGATTTCTTGAATATTGTCTTTGTCCATTTGTTATCTAATGAAATTGTTTTCTGGAGAATAAAAGAGTGGAAAAAATAAATTACAAATGAAGCATTTCTGTAAAGTAAATAACTGTCTGTTAGGATTCATTTATTTACAGAATGAAATAAAAAAACTCAATATTTTTCATTGTTAATGTTCTTGTACTGTACATCTAATTTAATTTTCTGTATCTCTTTGTTGTCATCTTGTTGTCCTCTAGATTTCTGCATCCCATTTATGGTGAGCCTTACCAAAATTATCTTTTTTGTTGTTAGAATATTGCTGAGCAGAATTTTCCTACATGATTGCTCTTACTATCTTGCAAGAATTTTTCTCTTCTGAATATAATTTTTATTAAGAAATTTAATTGCCATAGTTAAAATTAATGCAAACTAAACTTAGAGAAAAAGAAAGAGAATGGAAAGCAAGAATAAAAAGTGCGCAAAAAAGAAAAAGAAAGAAAAAATATAAAGAAATGACTTGCAACCTTCATCACAAGTATAAACAAATTAATAACTCTTCACCCACTATAAAGTTAAACAGATATATCTTTATCACATATCTCATTCCTTATCTATAAGCAATCCATAAAACATAAAGTTTTCAATCATAGAGTCAGTAAAAAGGCCATAAATCAGACATGTCAAACTCGCGACGTCATGTGACGTCGCGCAACATATCGGGACTGTTTTGCCATTGCCAGCAATGGGGTGGGCGCGGCTTCCGCATGATGCGTCTGGCCCGCGGGCCGGCAGTTTGATATCCCTGCCATAAATGATTCCCAGGACCATAAGGAAGAAAGAAAGAAAGAAAGAAAGAAAGAAAGAAAGAAAGAAAGAAAGAAAGAAAGAAAGAANTTGTATTCTAAAAAAACAATCAACAATATTAGTTGGATAATAAAATATTAGCAACAATAACCTTATTATTGTAACTAAGCTTAATCTACATGGAAGCAAACAATAACTTGAAGATCCCATCAAAGAATTCCATTGTAGCTCTCTTTTGGAAGGCTGCAGGTGTTATCAGGGAGAAACTTTGTTTCTCAAGTGGGGGGGGTGTCATGAAAATATCTGGACCTCAGAATTTTTTAGGCTAAAATGAGGGTTTGGTTCTCCTTTGGAAAAGTTGCAAAGCATTCAAAATAAACATCCCTTTGAGTAGAGCGCAGTTGCTCCCAGGAGCACATCTCTGTATAGTTTTTGCCTTCTTCTAAGACAGTGATGGCGAACCTTTTAGAGACCGAGTGCCCAAACTGCAACCCAAAACCCACTTATTTATCGCGAAGTGCCAGGGCTGCATCAGCATTGTGGTGCCCTCAGGGGGTGTGTGGGGGTGTGGCCCATTGGGTGGGCATGGCTGCAGTGGTCATGGCAGACTGGGTGAGCGTGGCCGGGACCAGGGTGGCAGGGGCCAGTCCCTCGCCATCTCCGGGGCATCCCCGGGGGGCCATCGTGGCTTGCTCGCTCACTTTCTGCCTTGTCGCTTCCAAATGCCATGCGCTCGCTACTCTGGCGAACTCTGCTGGGGCAACGGTGCATGTGCCCACAGAGAGGGCTCTGAGTGTCGCCTCTGGCACGTGTGCCATAGGTTTGCCACCATTGTTCTAAGATATTTCTCAATTTTTCAATCTCGCCTATACTTTCTTATTGCTTTCTCCATCCAAATAATAAGCAGGGCAGAGTCTGCTTAGTGGAAGTGGGGGATGGGGGTGGGTAGGGGGTGTTGATTAGTCAAACTTGGCTAAATGCTGCCATCTACTGTGTCAGATCACCATACATATCTAGTAGGCTGTAGTATGCTTGGTGGTTCCCAGAAGGGAGTGGCTTCTTTTCAAGGCTGGTAGATGGCTATTAGGACATTCTCCACAATGTGTTATATTTAGTTGAAGTTTTATTTGACATTATTGTGAAGCAATGTAACAATACATTATTTCATTCAGATCCTTAGATTTAAAAAAATAGCTTCAAGTATCTTCTCAAAATGTAGCATAATTACATAATTAGAAGAAAGGCAAGCTTCAAAACTACAAAATCTTTACTAAAGCTTTACAACATGATGTAAGAGAACTTTGTGAAATAGGACAATTTAGCAGAAAACGATATTATCTCTTTTTGCAGAAAAAAACAGGCATGGGAAAATTACTTAGGATATGACTTTTGGTAAAACTATTGTTTGCTTTTCATTTTGCAAAGCAAAATGTCCTTGAGAAATATTGCAAAAACAACCAACATAGAACTTACTGGAATTCCACTAGATGAAATTCTTTCTTCATATTTAAACTGGTGCACAGCCCAGGCCACCAAGTAAGTACTCATTGGGACAGATTTCTTGAATATTGTCTTTGTCCATTTGTTATCTAATGAAATTGTTTTCTGGAGAATAAAAGAGTGGAAAAAATAAATTACAAATGAAGCATTTCTGTAAAGTAAATAACTGTCTGTTAGGATTCATTACAGAATGAAATAAAAAAAACTCAATATTTTTCATTGTTAATGTTCTTGTACTGTACATCTAATTCAATTTTCTGTATCTCTTTGTTGTCATCTTGTTGTCCTCTAGATTTCTGCATCCCATTTATGGTGAGCCTTACCAAAATTATCTTTTTTGTTGTTAAAATATTGCTGAGCAGAATTTTCCTACATGATTGCTCTTACTATCTTGCAAGAATTTTTCTCTTCTGAATATAATTTTTATTAAGAAATTTAATTGCCATAGTTAAAACTAATGCAAACTAAACTTAGAGAAAAAGAAAGAGAATGGAAAGCAAGAATAAAAAGTGCGCAAAAAAGAAAAAGAAAGAAAAAATATAAAGAAATCACTTGCAACCTTCATCACAAGTATAAACAAATTAATAACTCTTCACCCAGTATAAAGTTAAACAGATATATCTTTATCACATATCTCATTCCTTATCTATAAGCAATCCATAAAACATAAAGTTTTCAATCATAGAGTCAGTAAAAAGGCCATAAATCAGACTTGTCAAACTCGCGACATCATGTGACGTCGCGCAACATATCGGGACTGTTTTGCCATTGCCAGCAATGGGGTGGGCGCGGCTTCCGCATGATGCGTCTGGCCCGCGGGCCGGCAGTTTGATATCCCTGCCATAAATGATTCCCAGGACCATAAGGAAGAAAGAAAGAAAGAAAGAAAGAAAGAAAGAAAGAAAGAAAGAAAGAAAGAAAGAAAGAAAGAAAGAAAAGGAAGGAAGGAAGGAAGGAAGGAAGTCTTATTTTAACCTTGATCAATAAACCAACTGTATATTCCTTCCTTTACTACTAACCAGTAATTTACTTCAACAGATTGAAATTTTAATTCAATCAAATATTGTTGTAGAATTTTACTTGTCTTTATTCTGTCACATGGACTTCATCAAGGCTTTAACAAGCCTCTTTTGTAGATCCAGTAAAAACTTCAGCCAGTTTCTGTTGTATATCCAGTAAAGTACCCTTTCCAAAGGATTCTCTTGGCCTCTCCTTTGTATTTCAATATTCTATACTTTCTCTGTCTTGTCAGATAAAATGTATTCCACTTCTCTCAATTCTTCATTACATCTTTTAGGCATAGTCTATCCACAAAAGTATACTGTGTCGATATTGTAATTACTAATTTCTGTTTGGATTCTTCAAAGACCTCAGTAAATATTTCCAAGTTATAACATTTTGTGTCATATTATAAGATCCAGCATCAATTAATATCAAGAACAGGCTTGTCCTTTTTTTTATCCTGCTTAAATCTTTAGTCCCCTCTACTATCTAGTTTCTAAAGTCATCGCTTATCTTTTGTTATGACTTGCAACATCCAGGATAGCCAAAACAAATGTGTTTCCCACAGAAGGTTGTTTATTTTTTAAAGTTAATTCTAAAATCTTATATTAAAAATGGATATTCCAAATTATCCGGATCCTTAATCCTTTTATAACTTTTCTTAGATCAAAACCTTACTTAGCTTTTTGTTGTTTATTTCAAAATTTTAATTTAAGCGTAAATCTTTATAAGCTTTATATCTTATCTTTCTTTTGTTTAGAATTGCAGATAACGTCACCCGAATGAAGACTTTTCAAATTTGTCATTTCAAAGATCTTTAATAGTCTGAAGATGGTTAATAGGCAATTTCCAAAAGTTATTAGTTAGTGTCCAGCTTGCCAGAAATTGAATCAAGTCTTCCAAGTAATGTCATTTCATTATTTTAAAAATAAAAGTTCTATATGCAAACCATAACTTTTTTGTTTCTAGAAATAGGTTATGGAGCGCAACCACAATTACTTAAGCATGCCTGCTGATAAGCAAATTCTACTAAGCTCAAATGCCCTTAGTCATTCAAGGCATTAAAGTAAACACCTCTTTTGATGATATTGAATAGGTGTTTTTGTGTGCAAGAAAGAGGAAGAAATATTCCTCCCTATTCATAGAAGATTATACCAGAAATACCCATTGGTACCTATTGAGAAGAGGAAATCTGGAAGCTATACAGCAAGAGTGAATTGGCCACAATGCAACACACAATCTGTACGCATAAGTATATAACTGAAATAATACAACTGAAATAAATAAACTACATATAGTCACTCACAGTTATGCCTTGGATCCTACCTTTTTACACTGTGGCATTTCCAGAGATTGCGTTATTCAGAAGAAATTGTGCCTTAGTACTAATATGAAAAAGATATTGTGTCATTCTTATTCTATTCTTTCTAACACATTAGAATGTTGGAAGGAAACAACACACAGTGTGACAATTCTTTGAAAACTGTACACAGAGGGGTTGAAATTGGCTGTGGGAAAAGCCAAGAAAGGAAATATCAAGTTTGAAAGTAGCCATTGGATCCCAAATGCCTAGGGCAGCATTTCTTCGCATGAGCACCCTTAAGATGCATGGACTTCAACTCCTAGAATTTTCCAGCCAGCCAAAGCTAGTTAGGGAATTCTGGGAGTTGAAGTCCATACATCTTAAAGGTGGCCAGCTTAAGAAACATTGGGTTAGGGAATCCGAAGGAGAAAAAAATGTTTTGGAAAGATTTCCTCCAAAATGCCTCTGGGAAAGGCAATTGGACAGTGATTCAGAATGCTGCCAATCTCTTCCCCTCTAAAATATCCAAGTCTCACGAAGCAGAGTGAAAATGTGTAACCCACCTTCTACCTCTTATTGTATATGTATATACATAAGCACAGAAATGCAACAGAAGGAAAGCATAAGTGCACTCACAGAGACACAACACTTTTGATTAGAGCCCCACATGTACCCACACCCACACGCAGACAGCATGTATGCACAAATTGTAGTCTGATTAGTTCCCTGGGAAAAGTGTTTACATATACATAAATGAATCAGATTGGGAAAGAGTATACTAACATATTGATCCAAGTTGCAGTATATGTTAACAGTTAGATAGACAGACAGACAGACAGACATTTAAAAAAACAAGAAACAGTCTGAATACATACCTCCACTGGCATGTTTGATATGGCTTCATAGTCATGTTCATGAGTAATAGATATCGTATATGTTGCTTTTTTGTTAGGTTCATCAAAGCAAGGAAATGATTTTCGTGCATCAGTTGGCTCATGATCAGTTGCTGCTATGTATCTTTGGAAAAGAATGAAAGTTATTGCATTAAATCATTACTCATGGATATTTGGAATAATTTCTTAGAAGAATAAGGACTTATTTCATTACTTAATTATGTCATTTGAATAAAAAAGGATATCAGATACTTATGTCACAGGTCCAAATTAGACAAAGAGTGAATTCTATAAAAGTAATATTACTAATTTACAATACATATTGATCACAATAGGTAGAGAATGAATGGATGGATGGAGAGACAGATCGATCAACACATATAACAAATAAGATTGCAATCAAAAACCAGGTGATAAGGTCTTTCAAGTGCTTTAAGTGTATACACTCTGAGTATCCTTGTATATCTTTGTCCATTGCTCAAGAAATATAATCTAACGGCATTCTTGACTAACCTGGAATATTGAGTTGCAGAAGTTCATCCAGAAACCTACTGAAACAAGTTGGTGTGATGATGTTTCTTATATTAATTTATATGTAGAGAATTTAAGTGACCAAGGTAAACTGTTACTAAAACTGTTTCCAAAATTAATATTAAACATTTTAACGTAAAGTTGAATTATGCTTTCTTAACAGCATTGTGTACAGAATGCCAATTGTAGCAACTGATTGATAAAAACATACAACCACATGTGTCTTTTAAATTAATTCAAAGTGTTGGTAATTTTTCAGCCACATATTTGCAAATACTGTCAACTGTATAAAAGTAAGAGAGGTCCAAACAAATGTAAAAAAAATAATAAAGAAGAAAAAAATCATAGACTATAATTTCTCTGAAGCTTTATAAGTTTTCATTAAGAATCAATTTGTCAGGATTCTTGGCTTGAGCTCTTTAAATTCTTATCAGTTTAAACTTGGACTTAAAACTTTGATTAGAATATGTAGCTAGGATTTTCATCATTTACTGATAAAATACAATAATGTATTTGGAAATTCAGGCACCAACATGAACTATAGCTACATAGCTATAATCCCAACAATGGTGACCTGTTAGAAAGTGAATTAGAAATTATATTTGGAGTAGATAACCATAGTACAGACAGATCAAATAAAAATGCTGTGTCATTTCCCAGGTCAAAGTAATACTGTAGACATTGGAAAGATCTTAACTAAAGTACAATTTGCTTTTGAAAAATGCTGATTGTGTTCAAACTTATCTTTTTCTCATTCTTATTTTTTTTTAATTCAGCAGTTGTTCTCTTATATGAAATTTTTCATCATCCACAGCCTCTTTTACTTCATCATTCCAAAAAGCATTCTTTTTCATGCTTCCTATTAGCATAATTCCACATACTCTTGGGGCACTCTATGATATCATTATTTTCATTCTGCTTCAGATAACTTCCATGTCCTTGTTATTGATGTCTTTTAGCACAAGCCATCATGTGAATCATACTTTTCAAATAGATATTTTAAATATGGAAGAAATATATGTGGCTGTACATTCCTTTCAACTCCCAAATAGCTACATTTGACTAGCTAAGTAGTATCTCTTAGTTGGTTTGGGGAAACATCTAAAGTTCTAAACCATCTCTCCCAAATAATATTGTCCAGGCTTTCTCTACCCTACAACTCCTCGAATTCCCAGCAAGCAGATAATGAGAGCTGCAGCCTCAATACATTTGATGGGTGCTAAGCTAGAGAAGGCTGATGTAGACAAAATTAGAATTATGTTCCAAAGTACCCATTAGTACATACCAAAATGTGGTGAAAGCACGTTTTTACATTATTTAACTTTCAAGTATATGACAGCTTTGTTAGGGTAAAAGGATTCTTTACTGGTGGTGTTACTAAGTACATATCCCTTAATGGTTTTGAAAGGAAGACTAAGATCAACAAATGGATAACTTGCCTTTCAACCCCTTTTCATCTATTTAGCAGATTATCATAAAACAGATGTTCCGTCTTCTACTGACTCTTAATATAGTCCATTAATTATCACGTGCAGGAGAGACTTGGCCACACATACACTGAGTGTGAACAATGGGAGCAATCCTGCTTTTTTATTATTTTTAGTTAACATTCTGCATTAACAATTCTGTGCCCACAATCCTGACTCACAGCTTCTTTTATTCTAAAGTTCTTCTTGCAGTTATAGAGTTCAGAGTTTCTTTTGATTTTCAAATCTCTGTCCATTGCACAAAGTATAGACTGGTTTATGACTTGTACTGGAAGTTGAAAGAGTTCATGGATGGAACCAGATAATGCTAACTAACTGCCTTACAAATGTATAGGAATATTAAGAGTACAATTTAAGGCATTTCTACAGCATTTTGGAAGACAGAAGACAGTCCACAATAGAGTCTTTGTAGAGCTTGTGGCAGCACGTGACTTACACAATTTTCAGCCTGACCTATTCTTCTGAATACTTCATTAAAGTTCACTTTATTAAGAAAAAAAATCTAATTTCAAAGCCTCTACTATCATCTCAATACAAATATGGCCAAACAAGACAATACATATTGTGTATATCTCAATCAGTCCTTGGAAAAATATTTGTTTCTGATTGCTCTAGGCTTTAGATACAAAGAATGACTATGTCAATACCAACATTGCTTCATCAGTCCACACTGTTTCCTACTTACAATTCTGACTAAATGTGGGAATGAAGGATGAAACTCACTCAGACTACAACTGTCACTCTTCCAGGCAATATATCCAAATAGCACTGGGTGATGCGAGTTGTAGTCATACATCTGGAGACTATGAGATTGGGAAAGACTGGACTAATAAGTAACATACACTGTGATGAAATGAATTTCCAAATAAACAATAGCTTGTAAGACTTTTGGAAACAATGTTCTCTATGCTGTAAATTTCTACGGACAATGCAGCATGTTATGAAAACCTGCAAGATAGAATTATGTTCACTGCAGGGAACTTGCAACCACAGCATCCTTAACATATGGCTGTCCAGTTTTTGTTTAAACAGGTCCTCCCTGGAGTGCTCTGTTCCATAATCTAACAGCTCTTGCTTGAAGTTTCCCTAATGTTGCAATTTCCAGTCATTAATTCTAGTTCAGCTCTCTGGAGCAGTAGAAAGCAAGTCTCTTTCAAAATCTGAGTATTTCTCAAAGCCTTAGTGACTTGAGCACAGACACAAAATCTAAAAAATTCAGAGAATAATATTCTCTTAAGCTACATACCTAGAACATGGAATTTGCCAACCAGGTAATAGTTGGGTTGAAAATTGGTTTAAATGGATTGTCTGTAGCCTTATTGTGCCCAAAAGAACTGCTACTGCAGCATTGGAAAGATAAACATATGGCCCCATACACTCAATGGACTGAAGACCTGATTGCACTTGCCACCTATGAACGGAGTGCCTATAAGACTTGTATAGACAAATATAATAAAACATGGGACTCATTTTTACAAAATACAGTAGGTTAAAAATATGATAGTTGTATAAATGTATTAAAATATATGTATACTTGAATGATATTTGTACTAGATAAGTACATGTATTCCTCAACTTACAACAGTTCATTTAGTGACCATTCAAAGTTACAACAGTACTGAAAAAAGTGACTTATGACCATTTTTCAGACTTACGACCATTGCAGCATTTCTATAGTCACATGATTAAAATTCAGATGCTTATCAACTGACTCATATTTATGGTGGTTGCAGTGTCCCAGGGTCATGTGATGACCTTTTGTTACCTTCAGACAAGCAAAGTCAACAGGGAAGCCAGATTCAATTAACAACCGTATTACTAACTGCAGTGATTCACTTAACAACTGTGTAAAATGGGACAAAACTCACTTAACAACTGTTTCATTTAGCAACAGAAATTTTGGACTCAATTGTTGTAACTTGAAGACTTTATAGAATCTTTATAGAATCATAACTGTTTGCTGTTATGATATTCATATTATGTTTTTTCCTTTTTCTTGTTGCATTGTTTACTTTTTTTTAGAAAGCACTTTTATGTATTTTTTTCCTCTGTCACAATATATATATATTTCTATCATAAATGTCGTTGTATGTTGTTCCTTTTCTTTTTCTTTTTGTTATTATTTTAAAACCAATAAAAAAGGATTTCCGTATATGGACTGAGATGTTGAGATTTCTCACAGTCTGAGATCATGTGTCACAACCAATGGACACCCCTACTCCCAAAGTCCTGTTTCAAAAACAGCTGCACTTTGAAGTTGTGATTAGGAGGATGAGAAGCAACAACCAGATTCCTATCTAGCCTTCCACTAGATAACATTCCACTGATAACAGTTCTACATATCTAACAGTAGACAACTCTTAATCTGGATGCTGCCATGTTACTACCAAACCATTATACATCAAGATACTTTATAGGCAACAAAGGGAAGAAATTGTGCATTAAAAGAGAAAAAAATGCAAGGCTTCCTGGATGTATTTTCTACAAAAACAAGGCCATCATTGTATAAATAATGAATTTCACTTCTAATATAATAATTTAAATTAAACTACCAGACATATGTTTCCTATCTTGGAACATTCTGCCTAACAATATAAAAGTAAGATTAAGAATAAGATAAAGAACTTTACAGAACAAAAGCATAAGAGATATGTGCTTATTTTGTTGCCTTTGTAAATATGTGGTAAATTCATAAGCAAAAATAAACCATATTCCCAGACCACCATCTCCGTGTTGTAGCTATCATTATCCCATTATCATGTTCCTTAATATTCATTATATATATACACATATATGAAAGACCACAGTTTTGTGGTGAGGAAAGAGAAGGTATAAGATGGAGAGAGAAAGAGAGAATAGCCTTGTGCAAAAATAATAGTGCAAAAAATGTTAAAAGAGAGATTTACTTGGTCTTTCCATTCTCTCCATAAGTTGTACTATAAAATCCAACCAGGGAACCATTCAAATAGCCTTTGAACTTCATACTCAGGGAATAGTTGCCAGGACGTAGGTCTTCTTCTGCCTCTATCACCACATATTCTTGTGGTTCATATCCAAAGCAACGCTTTATCTCAATGACCTGGCCTGAGGATATCCTGAGCTGAGGCATTTCCGTGATCTTTGTTTCTCTCAGGTGAAGCCACAAATGCCTGGTTGTCTGTTCTTCCAACCTGATGGAGATATTTACCATTCCGGTGTACACCTCGGCTTCCATCTCAGGAGTCAAGTCTAAGTCGTAATGAACAGGGTGAACATAGTTGGGCAGCCTGAAATTTGTCCAGGCTCCATTTTCATCATTTTTGGCACTGCAAAACGCACTGCTCCCTGAAGAATTTGTGACATCTAGAGTACTGGATGTAGGTGGTTTTGTTGACACTTGCCCATTGTCTTCTGGAGGATTGCAGGCCTCAGGTTTTAATCCTAAACCTAATCCGAGTCCCAAAATTAAGCCCACCGCAATTACCACTCCACAAATGATGGCCACGTGCTTGCCTTTCATGCAATGCATTTTGGATGACTTATCTTCAATATCCATTCCTTGCATCTCCCACTATGCTTACCAAACTTAAAACAGACACATTAAGCAATAGTGCGGTTGCTTGCTTGCTCTCTTCTCTCTTTTGGCTGAACGGACTCCGCTGTATTTAATAAGTTGTCTCTTCCTCTTTCCTTCTCATCTGCTTTTGCTTGCCTCTCTCCTCTCTCCCTCCCTTCAGTTCTCTGTCAGACAGTTAACAAAAAAAAAGTTTGATTTTTTCCAAAGGAAAATGATTGGTAAAGCAGGAATCAGTTCAGGAGAGAAGAAAGAGGAAACGCATGTAGAAGAACTTTGTAGCTGCTCCTATTTGCCTTATAAGCAGCACAACCCCACCCCCAACTCCTCCTGCTCTGGTCAGAGTTAAATATAAAACAGTGCTGTGTTAATCAGCAGTTGGATATGATCAAATGCCAAAGCTCCGTCAGCAGCTTTCTAAAAGACAGTTCACTGCCAGAGAGGTGTAGCTGATCAAAAATCTCAACCTTCGTCATTACCTTTACCTTTCTCATTTAGTTTCTTTTATGAGCAGGGGTCTCCTCGGACTTCCACCTCATGTATTTGGGTGTGTGTGTGTGGGGGGGGGAAGTGCACGTTCTTGATTTTGAAAAAAAAGTCCTTTCCAGTTCTTAAATCTTTCTATTTGGGTTTTCCAAGTCGATGAGCTTTACTTTCCGTTTTTCTACACTCTGTTATTCCAAGTGGTTAGAGAAAGAACATTAAGCTACAAATACAGCTTCTTTTCTTTTCTTCTTCTTTTTCTTTCTCTGTCTGTTTCAGACAGTAAATGTCGGCTCTTTTTTTTTTTTCCCCTACACACAGAAAGCCAAATGTAATCCCCAAGAATCCACTCTAATTTGCATACCGAGCAAACAGGCGGCAGTGGACATACACATCTGATTTAGCTATTTCTGGTTCACTGTGTTTGTTCAGAGAGATAATTGGGATACTTGGAGCAAAGATGATTTCTGTGGGCTAGTCTGCACGTTACAAATATCAGACCAAATGTATGAAAAATAAATTTGACATTCAAATGGTTCTTATCCTGTGTATGAATAGTTTTTGCAATCTTTGAAAACTATGCATTTCCAAGAACCTATTCCTGCATTCCAACAAATGTGCCAAGAATAACCTCAGGACTGGAGGGGGGGGGGCAGCTGGGTTGTACATTTAGGTTCATCCTTCTCATGTTGAGAGGCAGTTTCTGAACCAGAAAGCTTTGCAGGAACATGGATCTGGAGATTTGTTGCTAAATGAAATCACTTCAAAACTGTATACCACTGCTCATAAATAGTAATTTTGCAGAAATAGGTCACGTTTCATAGTACAGGTAGTGCTCTGCTTACAACAAAAACGAAGCCCAACATTTATGTTGCTAAGTGAGAAATTTGTTAAGTGAGTTTTGCCTCATTTTAGGACTTTTCTTGCCACATTTGTTAACGGAATCACTGCAGTTGTTAAATTAGTAACACGGTTGCCAAGTGTATCAGATTTCCCCATTGACTTTGTCAGAAGGTTGCAAAAGGTGATCACATGACCCCGGGACACAGCAACCATCATAAAGAGTCAGTTATCAAGCATCTGAATGTAAATCACATGACTATGGGGATGCTGTAATGGTGGTAGATGTGAAAAATGGTCATAAGTCATTGTTTTCAATGTCGTTGTAACTTTGAATGGCAACTAAATGAACTGTTGTAAGTCGAGGACTACCTGTACTATGTAGAGGTCAGCTATTGTTCTCTTATGGGTTCATTGACAAATAGTGCATAAACTTTTACACACAACAGTGTATGAAGGAAGTAGAATCCCATGGAAGCTTAGTGGTGAAGACACTTGGAAGGTTGAGAGTTCAATCCCAGATAGTGGCATTTTTTTCTCTCCTAGGACACAAAGAAAAAATATCTGCTGTGAATTTCACATGGCATCAGGAAGGGCACTTGGCCAGTAACTACTCAGCTCCATCCAGTTGCCCTGACTCTACTCTTAATAGGGACTACAGGATGGTAAAAGGGGAGTAGTGTATGTATGAATGAGTGAATGGGTTGACAGCAAGGTGTTTGAGAAAGTTGTGGATGTATGAGGAAGATTGGATCCTGAAAAACCAAAATGGAGAATAAAGAATAAAAGGTACTTAGTAAAGCTGTGTAGACATGGTAGAAAGAAGGGATAATGTTCAAGGACTGTTTAAGAAATAAAGTTAATTGGATTGGTATGAAGCAGTTTCAGTTCTGCTTCCTTTTCATTTTGTTATATCATACATTTAATTTCTTTGACTTATTTTTCTTTTTCTGCATTCCCCAAAACAATGCTTACTCTGAAAAGAATAGCATGGTGGGTATATCTAAATATGTCTGAACTTTGCTGTATAATATTGTCCTGAAAATCAATTTAAAGTCAGGTAAGCAAGAATGAGGTTACAGCTTATTAATATGCATTTGGAAAAAAAATCCATTCTACTATATAGTACACAACAAAAACTGAACAAAATAAGCATCTCAACAGTCCTTGCGATAAATTATCAAAATATGGGTAAACTTTGGATTCTCTAGTCATAGAATGCCCCAGAATAATTCTTCAAATTGAGAAAAAAATAGCTCTATTGCACTAAAAAGCAAGAATTAAAGTAAAATTATGGAGAATATTTTTAATTTTAAAAAGTAGTGAATGTTGAAAGCTGAACCTGAGACCGATATCCTCCCTTTCCTTTCTCCTCTCTTTTGATTGCTAAAAGTTATGCTGATGCAACCATACTATATACTATTGTAATAACATTATAATTTTGTAAAGATTGAGTAACAGGCAACAGAAACAGACAGAGGCTGGCTTCATTTAGCTTTTCTGACGCCAATCCATTGAACTTGGTGGTGCTCCCAAGCTGATATGAACCACATGCCCCAAAGCACTTTCTCATTAATTCCATTTCTAATATGGAGGAGACATCACATGAATTGCTACGCATTCATAGCAGTGCACAAACAGCTGTAAATTTTGGAAAACTGCAAGCAATTTTATCTTGCCCAAGCATAGACATATAGGAAAATCTTGCACTGCATATAAAAGAGGAGTCTTATCTTGGTGCCAGTCCAATGCAGGATGGCATTTTTTAAAGGATTACACTTGTTATTATTGGCCAAGTTTAATGTAAACAGCTAATGCCTTGGTCACATCTGATATTCACTTGCTAAACTGGAAAATTCTGATCTTATATAAACTTATTTAAATGCACGGTGCAAAGAATTAAGGACTTTCTTATATATTTTACCACTTTCTTCCTTGACTTTCTTTTAATCCTTGGTTCAAGAAATATGAAGCAATAAAGAAATCAGTGAACTTTGCAAACCAGGATATAAATAGTTCATGCATATAACTTTATGCAGTATGTTTAACGTGTTTTTGTTTTCATTTTATGGCTTTCGTGGTAATATTTAACAATAATCTAGAGAGAAAATATAGATTTAAAAACACAATTACAAGAATCACATTAACATCCATGGAAAAGGGTGTACTGTCTTCTTTAATCTGATCTCCTCTAAATATATTGGATCACATTTTCTTGGAATCCTAGACAATTTAATCTCAAGAGCTCTGGAGAACCCCAAGCTAGAGAAAGTGGCTTTATTGTACCAAGAGGAGAAATGATTGAATCCTTTTCACTTTGGATTTACTGTTTTGGAAGCGAAAGTTCAAATGGAATTGATGGTGAACCAGAGCACAGAGTCCCTACAGCAAACAACAGGGACCTGAATAGTACAGATAAGTTATTCAATTGTCTTTAGCAGTGTTAGTTTGCCATTAGTAAGATCTTCAGTGACAGCTAAGAATTTTGTTTCCCTTTTCTCATATTTTCTAAGCAGAGAAAAAGGAGTAAGAAGAATAAAGAAAAGCAAAACAAACTTCTATTATGCAAGATACAGAATTATGTAAGTCCTTAAAACCACTTACGATGCCAAAATACACTCAATCATCTTAGTAATTGTGATAACTTAATCTAACGATGGAGAATCTTAGAGGCTGAGCATCATATGCCTGTTGACTCAACACAAATACTGTGCAAACTATTACTTTTCATCACACTTTTTCCTCTTAAAGATTCTCAGCTCATCGTGGGTATTAACTAGTGGAAGGAAGAAGGTGAAAAATAGCACATATAAAATACACACATATATTAATGACAAGAACGCTATTTACATTGATAGATAAAATGTTCAGCACTTAGTTGGTTATATTGGCAATCAGAAAAATCTTAGTAAATGTTACAATTGCTCCATGAAAAATCATTCTGTTCTTTGTACTCCAATGCTGTAGAAAGAGAAAACATATTTAAGAAAGTTCTCTTAATATTTATCTGGCTTTCCCATCCCTGGTTCTCTTGTGATCAAATTCAGTATTTTAAAGCATTTAATAGACTGTATCTTTTCTGGAAGGAATTTACACCCATCACTGACCACTATCAATCTGAAATTTTTTTAAAAGGTTATTTGTATTTCTCTATAGTAAATTATTAAAATAATTTATAAGTGCGCTCATTTCAAAATGCCATGTTTGCCTGTGAACCTGAGCATCAAACAAAGAACACCAATTATAAGCAACAAATATAAAAACAGATTAAGAATGCATGCTGTATCCTCATATGTGCAGAAAAAAACAGAATAACTTCCATAATTTGAAATAGGTACTGAGCCAATTTATTCAAGGCAAATGACCAAACAATAACAATTGTTCTGAAACATTTTGTTATGAAAAACTACTAGACCACAAAAGTTTGGAATTGTCCAAATCGTCCCAATTTTGTTCCTGAAGCTTTGGGCGAGAGGGAGGAAAAGAAACAGAAATAGAACTCAAAACATAAATTTTATATTAGAGAAGTAATATATTTATACTAGCATTAGTTAGATAAGATTAATTTTTAATCTGTCAAGGAAATTTTCTGATTCTATTATTTTACCACCTAATTTTGCTGCTAGACTTCTCATTTCCTATGATACAGAGAGATATTTACAGAGATATATTTACCTGTACGAAGTATTTTGGATGCTTTATGCACTCTCAGACTTGAGAACTACAGGACCTCATACTAAAAGCCTCAAGACCTCTCCCCCAATCCTCCCAGGAAGTTTCTGTAGTTTTGACAGATGCTAAAATTGCTATTGAGCAA